GATCAAAATTCAGACACATGGCAGCTGACTCCTATTTATGATGGTTGTAGTGTCCCAGGGTGATGTAAATCAATTTTTGCAACTTTCTGAAATCAAAGTCAATGAGGAAACCAGATTCATATAACAACTGCAGTGATTCATTTAACAACTATGACAAGAAGGGTCGTAAAATGGGATACCCACTTAACAATTGACTTGCTTAACAACAGAAATTTTGGGTTCAGTTGTGGTCGTCAGTCAAGGACTATCTGTAAATTGCTTTCAACAAAATGGAAGTTATTTAAGAGACAGATTATTCCCTGGAGGTCATTAATTAGAACAATAACAGTATGTTCTGCTTTGTGCTTAAACCCCTAACTCAACATCTCCTCAGAATTAGAAGAATTTGTCCTATTTGCAGCCCACCAGTTACAATCTGAAATCAAGCTGCTTGCTCTGAAATGATGTTTTTGAACAAGGTATTGCAGACAAATTTAAGGATTTCTCTCCCCAAACAGGAGTATCTAATTAAAGAAGGAAATCTGAGCCGTGGAGCTGTAGATATGATTGGAGACTTACTGAATGAAGATTCTAGCTATTACCTGTCTTTTATTGAGAGCCTGAAAAGTGATGATCTCTTCTCTTACGAAAAAAGGTAAGCAAACCTGTATCACTTGCATTGTCCCAATTTAAAGATTAAATCCTTGTTTATCCGTTGAAGGATCCATGGGAATCTGCAAGGGACCGGAGATAAAAATCTGCAGGAGGGCAGGCACATGGTCCCAGTCATATCCTCCCTATATTGGTGCGGGAATGTACACAAACCTTTAACACTTTGCTACCAAATGAAGTCATGGCACAGTTATGTTGGATATAACACAACATTAATCCAAACCACAAGCTAGCAACTGAAACCAAAACCAACATACTATTGCAGTTGCAAAAATGGCAATTATCAGTAATGGTAATATTATCGGTAGATATTGATTTTTATATCAGTTAGAAATGGCATGTGTAGTAGATTGTCATTTGTCCTGTCTTGTTCTATATGTAACGTCTCCTCTGCTTTAGTTAAATTGTTAGGTTGCCAGATATCCTTTTTGAAGCATCCTGAAAAACAAACCTTGGGACTAACATTCTGGACTGTAAAAACAGCATTTTATGTTAAATCATTCTACAAGGCACAAAGTCTTACTCTTTGTATTTTATTAAAACACAATTAATTCTAAAATAGACAAAAAGAATTTTGCAAACTTTGTTCGAATTGCAAATATTCACAGTCAGTTTCTATATCAAGGCTTGTTGTATAGCATTTGCTTATCCAAACTATACACAACTCAATAGGAACTAAGTTGTTCATTTCAACTCAGGCATAAATTTCCCTTTTTATATTCTCCCTCATCTCAGATTTATGTAGTTATACTTGACAGATATTTCTGAGTAGAAAACTTGAGATAATGCCATCTTTTCTTCCAAAAATAAATATTTTTACACAAAATACGTTAAAAATGTAAAAATATTTTATCAATATATATTTTCCTAGGATAAATTTGTATAGATAAAATGATATTGCCAATAAATTTGAAAGGCATTTTTAATCAAACTTATTTCATATTTCAGATGTCTGCTTATTTAAGAATTAAACAAAAGCATGATGAGAGTAATATTTTTTGTTTAATGGCCCTTCCAGGTGAGATCCCTGATATAGTATCACTAGATATTGTAACATTGTAAGCCACCCAGAGACACCTCATGGTGAAATGGGTAGCAAATAAATTTGATAAGAAAAAATAATAAATAATAGATAGCAAAGTAAGAATAAAGCATATTTTTGCTTTCTTTCAAATCTGCTGTCAACTTCTTTTCAGAACTGTTTTCATTTCATTGTCCTGTGACTAAATGGCTTTTTATTCACTAATATCATTATCCAATATTAGCAGAGCAGTTTTTTACTTCCTCTGTCCTGTTTGGTTTTGCAGATATGATGAAATTGTTGGTGGATTTGATCAATTGCCTATATCCATGTATCAAGCCATTGCGGAAATGGTGCATTTAAATGCTCAAGTAATCAAGATACAACATAATGCTGAGAAAGTCAGAGTGGCATATCAAACTCCAGCAAAGACCTTGTCATATGTGACAGCCGATTATGTCATTGTATGCTCCTCATCAAGGGCCGCCCGTCGCATCTATTTTGAACCTCCCCTTCCTCCAAAGAAAGCACACGCTTTGCGGTCTATCCACTACAAAAGTGGCACCAAGATCTTCCTCACTTGC